AATGGCGCGGACCTGTCCTCCAGAATATGTCGAATACAATATCCAAAGCCTTCCAAACGGTTCTGAAGACATATTCGGTGGACATATGAACACAACTGTTGTGCCGAAGACTCCGCACGCGATCTGCCCTTCAGTTTGGCTCCGAGACGGGCACTAGAGTTGAGGCGGTATTGAATGGACCCGGAGTTTGATCCGCCGCTCATTGACGCCCATTGGTTCCGGTTTGACATCCGTTTGGTGATAGTCTTCACACGACTCGTGATTTATATTTGATTTACAATTAATTAAAATTATTTTTTTATTGTTTTGTTTTCAAAACGCGTTCAATAGGTGTATGAAATGCGTTCACAAATCACGTTACGATTTGTTGTCTCAAATGCATTGAATTCACGGTTTGTATGAAACGTTAATTCAAACGAAAGTTTTTCAAATCATCTGATAAACAATGTCTTGGATTTGGATGATGTGGATGACGTGAATGAGTGGATCAAGCGGTGACTTTGGAGACGCTCAAAGCCAAGGGGTGGACAAGTGGTGGACAGTTGTGCGTAACGTTGTGTATGAGTGTGACAGCGAAGTGTCAGCCATTTTAGTGATCCCTTCATTACTTCCTAATTGCGATTCAGAGGAAGTGTCGGAAGTGTTGGCCACCGACCGGAGCAGCTCTGAGGTGATGGCTGGAAGTGATCGCTGGTATTTCGACAGAGAAGTGCTCGCAAACACTCCCTCCAGAAGATGTGGCATCGACTCAGACAAAGAGCTCTCGTATAGACAACAGGCGGCGAACCTAATCCAAGATATGGGACAACGTCTGCGTGTGTCAGTTCATACAAACCGGTAACCATTCACCAGATTGTGTGACTAATGTCCGGATCCCTTGTCTTTAGGTCTCAGTTATGCATAAATACAGCCATTGTTTATATGCATCGCTTCTATACGTTTCACTCGTTCACCAAATTTCATCGAAATGTCAGTCCTTTTGACTCTTTATGATAATTTGAGGAATGGATTGTGGGATCAAATGAGTGATTGTTGTATTGTATGTCTGATTGCAGTCGATCTCGAGTTGTGCGCTCTTTCTGGCGGCCAAAGTGGAAGAACAGCCGCGAAAGTTAGAGCATGTGATCAAAGTGTCGCACATGTGCTTACATCGAGACATACCGGCCCTCGACTTCAAGAGTGAGGTATGAGTCGCATCACATCCATGCCATTCCCCACAACACTCTCACTCTCTCTGATTGTGTGATCGGTTAGGCCTATAAGGAACAGGCGATGGAACTGGTGTTCAATGAGAACCTAATGCTACAGACACTGGGCTTCGACATCGCTGTCGAACACCCGCACACTTCGGTCGTCAACTGCTGTCAACTGGTCAGAGGTATGCAGTGGTCGGCCATTGCTATCATCCATAGGTTTATATATGTTTTGTTGACTCGTTTAAAGCGAGCAAAGACTTGGCTCAGACCTCGTACTTCATGGCCACTAACAGTCTTCACTTGACCACAATGTGTCTCCAACACAAGCCCACAGTCGTGGCCTGTGTTTGCATACACCTGGCCTGCAAGTGGTCGCGTTGGGAGGTCTGCACACATTTATTGCCCATTCGGTGGTTCACTAATTCATGAATCTATTCATTGGTTCCACCCATAGATCCCGCGCTCGAGTGAAGGCAAAGACTGGTTCTATTACGTGGACACTAGTGTCACGTTAGACCTATTGGAACAGTTGACGTCCGAGTTCTTAGCTATTCTAGACAAGTGTCCCTCAAGACTCAAGCGGAAGGTTATCAGTGGCACTGAAGCTGCCGGCGCCTCAACGTCGGGTTCTCATCACAACTCATCACTCAATAAATCAATTGTAAGTCTATTTGAGAAGAAGTTTTAATTGATTTGAATCTAACGTATGATTGTATGAAAGGATGAGAAGAGGAGTTCAATGCATATAAAGGAAGAAAACAAGTCATCGACTGTTCATAAGTCGAGTTCACATCATTCGACCGAAAGGAGTGATAAGACATCGGCAATGAACTCATCGGTGAGCCGTCGATCGCCGCCCACTTCGCCGCTCACCAAGAAATTGAAGACCGAACAGACCTGCCATACGTCGAGCCAACCCTTAAGCAAACCTCCCGTTTCCATGACTTACGCGGCCTATCGGGAGAGGAAGGAGAAGGCAAACACTCAACCCGACTGTCCAAAACAGCAGCCAATTCTGCCCAATAAGTCATCAACACATAAACCAAATCGTGATATCGTTTCAAATCCACAAAAGGAGAGAATATCTCCAAAACAACAAATAATTACTGATAGACAGCGACAAAGCGATGAAAGGCATAGACTTAAGCCTAAAAATAGTGATTATTTATTTGAGAGCAGTAGTCGTCCAGCGGTTACAGCAAAACCAATCTCTATACCGACAAATCAAAAGCCCAATAATATAACCGAAGATTTTTACGATAATCTGCTGAACAAACCGTCAAATTTCAACTCAATCTTCGCGACCGGCGATGGCGACGACTCGCTTGACTTCAAGCGCGATGTCGTTTCCAACCTTCAGATGGAGTTCTCAGATAATTCTAATCAATCGACTGATGGCTTGAATTTGAGTTCATTTCCATCAGATTTTATGAACGACTCTTCGGACTCCAAGAAGAGTTTGAATAATAATAATAACAATAATAATAGTAATAATAATAGCAAATCACAACCCAATTTGGAGACAAAGCCCACGAGTTTTATGTCTATATTCTCGACACCAATCGCCACAACTCAGACCATAACTCCCATAACCGCCGCAACAACGGCTCAGAAGTCAGACAACCCGAAGGCAAACATTCCCTCTAAATATAGTGATGTCTTATCTCGTATTCCTCCGATGTTAAGTCCATTGCATACGGCAGTGAAGTCTGCGGTAGATATGGAAATGATTCCCAAATTAGAGAAACCGTTTTCATCGCACTCTTCAGCCCTAACGCATCCCAAAAATAATATCAATTTGAACTCAGAATTGGATTCAAAGTCACATCAAAATTCAAAATTATCTAAATCTTCACCGAAAATTCCAAACCTCTTAACTCAACAAAAGAGTTCCGTTGGAAGTG